GCCCAGTCGAATTGTAATCAAGACCCAACGTTTCGACACTCCAGTCTAGTGTCTTCATCAGGGGTGATCTAAAACTGCGATCGTGGCTTCTTAAATACCCAAGGGATGACGTCACCTGCCTTGGGTATTTAAGAAGCCACGATCGCAGTTTTAGATCACCCCTGATGAAGACACTAGACTGGAGTGTCGAAACGTTGGGTCTTGATTACAATTCGACTGGGCTTTGTAATCATTTACATGGGCGTACCGGAAGGAAAAAATTAGGGGGGCGGAAAGAAAATTGCCCGACTTTTCGGGATTCTGCCCGACTAGTACCAAAAAATTTTTTCCGGAAAATTTATTTTGGCGACTTCCCCCCCCCCCGTCGCCAAAAAAATTTCGGTCAGTGTACCATTTTAGGGGTCAAAAAAATTTTCCGGACAACCAAAATTTTTCGGAACATAACACAAATTTTCGAAAAAACACATAATTTCCCAAAAAATTGACCTAATTTTAGACAAAATTGACTGAATTTGTCCCATTTTTTTTTTATTGCAAACCAAAATTGCCCGACTGTTGATCGAATATTGCCCGACTGCCCAAAAAACTGGGGGGGCGGCCGCCCCCCCCGCCCCCCCGCCCGGTACGCCTATGATCATTTATTTAAACCAGAGTAGCGAGCGAAACATGATTGATATACCTGGTTGCAGTGAACGAACAAACTTTATATTTAACCATGTTGTGAAAAAGTCTGCCACCTCAGGAAGGCCTCCACAATGTCAAATTTGTGACCGTGATGATCGTTTTGGTAAGTTTACTCTGAATTCATCGTGTTAGTTTACTCTGAATTCATCGCCGCAAAGTCTGTATAACTCCGTAGAAGTGTATTGAAATAAAGGCAGGGCCTTTTTTAAGAATTCGTCCGTAAGGGGAGGCATCTACAAAAAGGGACGTCACCATACTATATCGAGTGCGGAGCCGGATGACGTACAGATGGTTGTTGGTGACAAAAAGTTTGATGTGGTGTCGTATGTAATAGTAGGGGTCTGGTGGTATTGCACGGTATCTTATGTAAATACCACAATTCGGTCACTCAGGAGAGTAGGAAGCTTGATAAACTTAGGGGCCGAACATTTGGAGTCTCTAGAATCCAAAAACCCGGAGTCTCTAGATCGTCGGAAATGGCATTCTCAGAGTCTTCTCTACCTCTTTCGTTAGGCCCTTTCATTAATTCTTTCATTATGATTTGTCTATGCTATGCTATCCGTGAGTCAGGATGGATTACTACGAAAAGTATTGTTATTAAAATATCGATCACGGATATTTGATCAATATATGTACGATTTCAAATACTTCTAGTTTCGAATTCAAATATTTCGCTGCAATTGTTTCTAAACTTCAATTATTTTTGGTGCAAGTTGCAAGTCGTGTACCATGGCTTAGTGAAGCGAAAAGTGAAATGTTCCAACGACGAAGCGATGAACCCTTCAATGCCTTTGCTCCCGAAACAGTACTAGACATCTGTAGAAATTATACTGTACTGTATTATGCATTTTTCGATGAAACGTGTGCACGTGAAAAAATGACGGCATATCATGGATATCACGGTTTATCATGGTTCATATATCATATGATATAATAAGTAGCAATATTCCATGCAAGAAGAAAAATAAAAGAAAAAATAAATCTAAAAGGAAAGGTAAAATGGAACACAACAGTAAAGGCGGATAAAAAGAAAGACAAAAAGTCTAAAGTTGAGAAGAGCGTTGAAAAAGATAAATCCACCAAATTTAAACTCCATCAACGACTTGTTAATATATTCTGCTGTTGTTTTAAAACTTGAGAAAACGAGGATTTGCATTGAAATAATCAAGATAAGAAAAACAACCAAGAAAGCAGAAAATGTTATATTTCGTTTAATAGTTAATTCGTTTGTCTGTATTCACTTAATTTACTTAAATTCACGTTTAATATAAGTTATTTCTTCATAATCAGCTATATCATTTTGTTAGAATATACAATGTAAATATAGAAGTTTAAATAGAAAGTAAATAAATGTTAAAAAGTCCAACCTGGATTTCTGGTATTTTGTTGTCCTGCATGTCGAAAGGTTTTTGCAACACGCATATTTTCGTGAAGCAATGAAGACATGGGAGAACGGTGAAGTATATAGTTAAAGCTAAACGTCTCAATCACGAAAACGAGGCTCTAAATCAGGTGACGTACTTCTGGAAGCGTGTTTTGCAAAAATTGAATTATCCATTAGCTATCTTCATCAATTTTAATTACAATATTAATTGGTATTCTTAAAGGACGAATGTTTACATACAAGTATTTATATCATCATTTAAAATATGCATGTCTTATGATAGGAATTAGACTTGAACTGAGATGTTGCCTATTGAGGCAAGGTTTGGTTGATTAAGGGAATCTTGCCGGAACTCTTTTAATTTGAAATACGACAATGTAGATGAAAGTTTCAAATCAGTTTGTAAGACATTCTATTACTTCACACTTGGCTATAAGCTTTTTTCATAAATTCACTACGAGTTATCACATTGAGCATTTTCCTATTTCGAAAATTGTTTTAACAACATTTCAATTTCAATATACGGAGATAACCGATGTTATTCCCAGCCCTCTTAGTACGCCTATTGCGCGTTTCTGCATATTAATGAGGTGACGGCTAAAGCGTACACAGAGGACTAGGGACTAGTCTGTGTTACCATGAAGACCTGGGGACAAGATTGGTTAAATTACAGTACACCTAAATATCCGCTATAATTTTTTTTAATTAACTTTACAATCATATTATATAAAAAATACACATACATGCAGGCTGCAGCTATGATTGAAGGATTGGACAACAGAACTAGAATCCCATACTAAGTCCATCCATTTAACACTAAAACACGACATATTACGGACTACAAACTGAACAACGTAATACTGATTTTACAGACCTTTAGTACTAGTTAACACATGAGCAGCCGATCTTTATCTGATATACAAACTCCAGCCGAAAAACGTGCTTAAAAAACGACCCATCTTATGAGTTCATTGGTGAAGTAATTTTAAAAATAAACATTGTCTAAGCCGAGAAAATCAAAGCAGAAGTTTATGTAAATCAGGACAAATCTTTATCCGATTCACAAACATTGATTAAACATTCATTTCTTTTGTAATTTCTTTCATGAATTATTAATGAGTTTTTAACACTATATAAAACATGCAAGAATAAATACTACACTACTGTGAAATTATTTGCGAGGTTCAGATTCGACCCCCACCAGCAGCACTAGTTGGAAACCACTAACCACTTCGACCACCAGACAAACCTTCATTCATGCAACATGGAAACAACAAACAAAATTTTAATTTACAGTTTCTGATTATACAAAAGGTTTATAATATATTACGTTTTACAATATTTATTAATAGCTTAATTAAAATTCTATATATCGCAATTATCTATATGATCATAAGGCGAATAAATATACTAATATATTTATATATACAAATTAAAATTCGAAAATTGAAAAAAAAATTGCAGCGCAAAGGTTGCATACAAACGTGACATTCATAAAATGTCCTAAGCAAAGTGTGTCTTAGCACTCAAACTTTTTCTTGACTCAGGATATTGTTCTTGACTGACTTGACTCGTTTGTTTTTGGAAACTTGAGCTGACCTCTTCAGTGCTTTCTTTTGTCTTGGATTTTCTAATAAACAAATATTTTTCTGTAGCAACGTGTACACAAGGCCGCCGAGATGTTGCGCGGGGCAAAACTTTCCAAGGGGGCCCCTATGACGTTACGAACCTACGACATTTGGAATACTAGCCCAATGAAATAATTTTGCCTAGCGAAAACTGCTCAACGTCTGCGAAATAGCAGTTCTCTGAGAAGCCAATCAGATCTCTTCTTTAGTCGTCTATCCCAGAGCCTAATTTTCAACGAGTGACCGAGTGAAAATGGCTCTGGGGACGAGAATGCGACATGCATAACTATTGTCTTGGAGGACTCGCAGTGTTTCAATTCTACCAGAACTATCCTCAGTGATGTGAAAAGCTCCTCAGTGATATAAAAAACCCGAAGACCCGCTCAGAAAATATTTCGTCGTACTCTGCAGTGTCAGAATTAAATATGACATTCTTGATCACCTCTAGATGGTGGACGACAAATTCACTCTTCCAAAATTTGAATTTGAATTTATTTGAATTTATTAAATTTGCCACTGAAAAAGACGTACTTTACATATACAAAAAACTACTAAATTGCCCTAATAAGTAAAATGGCAGGGTCACCACAACAGCAGTTGTGACCTGGACGGCTGGACTAAATTGCCCTTGGTTAATGCACTACTATACATTCGTATTCCTTACTGGCCTGGAAAAGCGGGATTTTTCGTTCGCCGGGCCACCAAATTAAAGTACCCGCGTGCAGAAAAATAATGAAAGAAAAATTCGTAGCCTACTTCTTTGCTGTTTTTGGTCTTGATGATTTTGGTCTTGAGGACTTTGGTCTTGCTGTTTTAGGTTTGAACGGTTCACCAGTCACACCATCGTATCCAGCAGGTGAATATGTCAGGTAGACATTAGAAATATCTATTTCCGGGTACTATACAAGACAATGTACACAATATATTAAACAATGAAGCAAACAATCTATATAAAACACCCTCGGTTCCACATGCCATTGTGAGCGAGGTGTGGCGTAGGGACGATCCAGTTTGATAACAGTTGAGGTGGTGGTAAAACCTTGGAAGAATTGATATTTTGGAGCATTTCAGTTCTTGCATCATCCATTCGTTTGGATTATAAATTCCCCCCAAGTTTATATACTGTGGATACATTACTGTCGCAACTAAATCTATATCAAGTGCCTGTGATTGAGTGCCTCCGGCCCTATAAGCAGTGCATTATACAATATTTTACACATAGCTGTTGAGGTAGGTGTCAATATGGTGATTATGGGAAGAAGGCAGCATAGTAGAGTTCTAAACTGCAATTTTCTTTTCATTAACTTCACATATTCTTTGCTTGCACGTGACGTCACTACGTGTCATTGGGCGCCATCTTGGTTGATTTTAAAGTTTTGTCCTGCCGTTTACATCGAAATAGTTGAGTTACTTTAATATTTTTGGTTTGTTTTGAAAACATCTTACTGTATTATGGATAGTTTACGATTTCTGACACAATACGACAAAGAATGAAGAATATTGATGATCGTATGTTTTGAAAATGAACCAAGATGGCGTCGATTTGCGGAGTTAAAACGTATACGGAACAAATAGAGCCTGGGCCTCCTGTGGGAACAGAAGCAAAAATCTCATACCTCTTTATTCCTTTCCCGAGGATCCGGGCTTGGACTTGCTTTCCTCATATTATTACCAGTGTAAGCAACAAAACGCTGTAAAAACGATCATACAGTTGAAAGAAATGCAGTAGTAGACATCAACATAAGATTTAATCATGAACTGTCATGTATGACGCAAATTACATGCAGTATAGTGAAGATCCTGGAATGTTTCCCCGTCCAAGAGATCCCTGGTTTTGGATAGAAACAAGAAAATATTTCGCCCATTAAGCTGCAATGCGCCCTTATGCACCCAGAATTTATTAATATTATTTTACTCTGTCTACTCGTCGTTAAGGGGAAGCGTGGTCAATATATTAAGAGTAAATCTTACCAATTGCCATTCTCCTATATCTTCATTCCAGGTCGAATTTTGTTCAATCATTTGCTATAACGAGAGAAGCAAGTTCATTAATTAAGAACGTTATTCCAGAATGACTGAATTCTTATTAATTAGTTACAAGTTCTTGTTATCATACACCACTTTTACAGCTCGACCAGGCAAACCGAGGCCGCTTTGGCATATTTTTGATGTTTTCAAACTAAGCCAAAACCAATCACCACCGGGGTGATTTTGACTAAACATTTTCCGGTTATGAATTTATGACATAGCCATAAGGTCTAAATAACCCACTGCTGATTGATTTTGGCTTCGTTTGAAAACATTAAAAATACGCAAGTGGCCTCGGTTTGCCTGTTCGAGCTGTAAACTAATATAAGGCCGCCATAAATTCATTTGTGTTCACATATAAATGGCCCATGCATGCAGCAGGCCTGTTCATCATGTTAACAATTCTTTAATTTCTTAATTTTCTAATTTATACAACAGGTTTACTTCGCCATTATAGTCATTAGAATACATTACAAGTTATACGAAACATTCGAAAGTTTCGTACCTGTCTGGTCCACCACATACATCACACTGACCTGAAATTCCTGGGGAATGAAACTGTCAATGACCATACTTTGCAACCGAAACTCTTTGTTAAGTTCCCGTATATTATCCAACAAGCCTTCTATTTCACGTTGGTGTTCTTGTTTAAGATCTGACATCTAAACACGACGTTCATTTAGAGCGAGGTTACTGTAGTCAACTCGATCAGTATAATATAATAATTTACTTCACTGAGTTCGATTAATTCAATGGCTATATTAATATAATTGGTTCCTAACCGGAAAAATACAAGGCGAATTTCGACGTTTCGAGCTAAGGTACACTGGCACAGATCGTTCATGCATGTACGTCAATGAATGTCGTTTTTCAAAGTATCGCTGGAAAATTGGCGCTGCCCATGCAACGAAAGGCGATTGTCCAGCAACAAGCGAAAGATTTTCCACTCATTGCAAAAATCAACTACAAATGTCGAAGGCCTGCTCGGTAGACAAGAAATGAATATACTTATAGAACAAATTAAACAAGCAAGAACTCCAGTCATTCATGAGAAAAGTAAAGGCAAAATGGCAGAAATTGACGTCCAATAACTATGAAGGTGGTAAACAGTTTTTATAAACAAGTTATCAGTTCATAAAACACAGTGTTATTCAACTTATTCTTTAAATCGATGTCAAAATACGACATTTCGGCACACTTGCAAGCTTCGTCTTAACCGCGTAGACGAAACAATAGAAAGGGACTAGGTTCAGTGGGTTGACGTCTAATAGTAATAGCTCTTCAATTTCCGCCATCCTGGCTTCACTTTCTGGACTCGAGTTCTCGCTCCAGATATATATGGAGCTCAGTGGTTGACTCTTGCGATGAAACGAAAAGAGGCTTAAGAACATAAAGCGCTTTGAACTGACAAAATGCAGCATGTGCAGATATAAAGACGGAATCGTACCTCTGAGTTAGCGCTCATTAACATACTCCAAACTTTCTTTAGTTTCTTTGACTTGCCCGCGGCGGCTTCTTGCAATGAAGCATACTTTTCTTCGATATCAACCCTCTCTTGCTGCAAAATAAAGTAATATTACAGCGTTAAGAACGGTAAAATGACGCTTTTGAAAGAGCGAATGAAATTGCAATGTTGCATGCACATGGACATATATAACTTAATAGAAGCTTGTACGTAATATATTCTGTATATTTCCTTGTTGTCTCATTGCCATAATCTGCTAGGTTAGAAGGTACAGGCTTTTACAACCGTGATATTATTCCGGAACCAAGGATACATATATACCTGGTGTCCCCCAAAAAACTTGCGGTGTTTGATTTCATGTAAGGTAAAAACTATAAAAGCTATTACACTCAAATAAGTTTTATTGTATTGAGGAAAGGCTAACTTAGATTTTGATATACAGCACTAAAAATATGTAATATTACGTTAGATACAAACGTTTGAATGTGGCGCACGCTTTAAAAATGAGTAAAAAAATCGAGAAACATGGCTGATCAAATTTATATGAAAAGTTGAAAACAAATTGCCATTTTCAACAAAAATTAACAATTTCAATTTCAGCATTTCAACTCAACTTTCATTTCGGGTAATGTCCTAGTATAACTTAACCCTTCGTGTTTCTTGGGAAGCGAAATAAGCATGAAACATTTAAAAACGTTCGAAAGCATATTTGACGTCCTTTGAGAGTTCGTATTATAAAGTTGGTCGTCGTTCGCCTTTCGAATATGCCTCGATTAACAAAAGATCAAAGAGTTTGGGTTTTATGGTTTCCCGTGCAAGACATTGTATACGTGAAAAAGGACATACTTTCTATGATGAATGAATAAATGTTTATCCAACAATTATGTTTTTCATTCGTTCTTTTGGCCACAATAAAACTATATAATCAATTTTAACCAAATAATATTTGATAGGCAATTTTATGCAAATTTTTAACATTGTCAAATATGCTTATTCGATTTAAAACATCGATAGCTCAGTAAATATTGCACGGATATTCAAATGTTATATATCCAAATCTAAGTTATCCCTTTTTGAATACAATATAACTTATTTGAGTGTAATAGCTTTTATAGTTTTTATGTTACATTAAATCAAACAGCGCAAGTTTTTTTTGGGACACCCGGTATATATATACTTAGAAAACAAAGGAATTGAGAGCGATAGTTGAGTCATTCTCTTCAACTATCAAATGGTTATATTCTTCTAACAAATTCGTTTTTTCTATAAAACCTACCTCCTTTTCTTTAATTTTCTTTTGAAGTTCCTGTTCTGTTGCTCTTCTTTCTGCCAATTCGTGAGCTGATTCTTCAAGTAATCGTTCTTGCTCTTGTGCTTTCTCGAGCTTAGTAAAAATATCGTGTTTGAGTTTATCGAGTTTCTTACTCATTGTTGAGCGGATTTCCCAACAGGCTATATTGTTCAATTGATAGGGAATCCGATCGGTACCTACCACTTTAACGTCCTTATCCGAGAAGAAAATCTAACCATTTACTCCGGTTAATGTAAAGTTAGTTCTTTCTCCTCAATTATTTTAAGACCTTGAGTAGAAGTCGGACCAAGAATTGAACCCGGGTCTCTCAGTTTGAAAGGCAAGTGTGGTGACCATGACACCACAAGTGCTGGTTACAAAGGCATGTTATCGATCCAGCTACGCCTACAGTTCAGTATTAAGCTCTTTGCAGGAATGAACAAAACAATAAAGACAACCAGGTAGTCAGTAAAGTTGAACGTAGTGTATGCAGGGGTTTTCTTTGATTGTGACCTCATAGCATAAATTTCCCCTCGCTTGCCGGGGTGTCGCGCAGACGACAGCTATATAGAGAACGATTATACGCGTCAATTTCACTTACTAAGTTAACTCCACCAACAATAATTTTTCCCTCGACAGCTTTCAACTTTTCTTGAAGTCTTTTGTGCTGCTCCCTAAAAATTCATGCACAAAATTCATATCAAGTCCTAGAACTGAGTAAGGTATGACATAGTCCTAGGACTGGATAGAATTAGATCCATCCTAGAACTGGATGAAGTTTAATCAAATCTATAGAAGTGTAAAAAAAGTTAATAATAAGGAACATAGATAGATAGATTTGCACATGCAAATTTAGACGAAATCGAATTTCAGTAGTTAGTTCTTAGTCAGTGTTCGGATTTGAAGAACTCTGACGCTGCGCTCATCTCCGGTGGTAAAGAAAAATGAACAAAAGGTGTAAAATGATGACATCATTTATTGTAAGTTCTTTCTGAATTGATCAAATTAATGTAATAAGAAAAGTGTTTTAACTTACTCTGCTTCAACAAGATCTTCCTCTCGTTTTTCTAATTCTTGAGCTACTTTATTTTTCTCTTCTTCTTCCATGTCTTTCTTTTGAACCAAAGCTTTCTTCTCCGCCTCAATTTTTATTTTCATTTCAGCCACTTTTCCAGGGGATAAACATCGTCTACCTAATGAGTATAGCAAGAAAAAGAAAATCACATTAACTAGAGGGAACTCGAAGACTGCATATATGTCACGTATCATGCATAAATTATGCAATGGGCTAATTACGTATTCAGTTTACTCTAGCAAGACAAACGTTTGCTAATTTTTCATCCAAATTTCATGTAAATTTATACAAAATTTAATCAATTTGTCCTTGGGAAATGTCCATTACTCCCACAAATTTTCGTATTAATATGTTAGATATTTTTAAGTTATTCTTCTGACAGACAAACAAAGGCGGATGAAAGATGACCTGGCGAAAATAACAAGGCACTCTTCTACAACTTCTTGGAGTCTAGCTCTTTGTAGTAAGTTTTGTATTTCGGAATTGTTTCGTATTTGCGGAAAATACCACTTGGCTAATGAGTCGTATATACTTAACCTCAAACGAATCTCCTAACCATTTTTAACTATTCGATAACTATGTACATGCAGGTAACTCAATTGAAATATACACCCCGTCGTATGTAGAGTTAACGTGCCCATTGGAAGTTTCTACAGCAACTGATTAGAGAATGTTGCTCAGAGATGGACCAACCTTTTTTCTCCCTGCGTTTTCGTCTTCGTGTCTCTCCTTCTTCACCTTCTTCTTCAACATCATCATCACCTGATTCACCACTCCCGCCGTCTGAAGATACAACATATTCATGTTAATTAGCGAGCTTTATCAATCCAAGTTTTTGTCAACGCAGACGTCACCTGAAAATTGGTGGAACTAATATTGGCGGCATTTTGCCTCATTGCGCTCGTGTAAGGAAGCAAAAAAACTTTACGTTTTGTCATATGTGTTATTGTGCTGAAGATTACCACAAATGGACACAAATACAGTTTTTAATCAAGTCCCCTGTTGACAAAAATGTCGATAGACCCGTTAAAAGAATTATCTTTATATTGTTCTATCTTTAATAATAAAGATACGTTGACAAATTTTTTATCAGCTTTCAGAATTCCTGCAGAGCTAGGATGACTATAAATATTGTTGCGATTGTATTGTATAGTTTATCAAAACTTTTCCCAGTCTTAAGGCTTAACCAACACACATAAGCGTACGAGGCAGGGGGCAGCTTGCCTCCCAAAAAAACGTAAGTTGAGCACAAAAATGGGGAAACCAAATTGAAAGCAAGAAATTTGTAAGATAATAGTCGAAAATGCAAGAAACATGTAATGTGACCAAAATTTTTTAGCCTTTCAAAAACTCTTCCTCCCCCGTCGACAACAATTGTCGAAGTTTAGCAGGGAGAAATGTGTTTGATGGGTCGAGCAAAATGAAAAAAGGCGGGCAAATTATTTCTGCCCCCCCCCCCAATTTGTTTCCCTCCCGTACACCTAAGCCAATACATAATATACCTCACTAAGTTTCATGCAATCATAAATGTATATGGGGAAAAAATGAAATAAATATAAATAACATTTTGTATACTACCATCAGCTAATTGTTTCTTAAGCTTCTCTATTTCATTCTGAAACTCTCGAAGTAAGGCATCCTTCGGATCTTCATTAATAGTCGCTTTATTCTTGATATTCTTAGCACGATTAGCATATCTTTATAGAAAACAATTTAAATTGGTTATAATATCACAGAAGGGTTTAGTAGATGGAAATTCTTCTGGTTAGCTACAATCCTGGACAAAACGTTGTGGACAACCCACAGACATTGGCCTCGAATAGCGTGTTTCTAAATAATTATCCCCCCGCTCACCCAAGCCAATGTTAAGTGTGGATAATTCGGATATGCAACATTGAAGAGGGGTAGTGGGGGATAAGCGAGTAAATTCAAGTTTTAGCTCTTTGTTATGATTTTTGCAAAAGTGGATTAAGTGTCCACACGAGTTTTGACCCGGATTGTAGCTATAGGTTTAATAAATGTATAAAATTCACACTCGAAATTCCCATCTACTAAACCCTTCTACAATACACGCTTCCGGAAAGTGCGTCACATTGGCTATAGAGCCTCGTTTTGGCGATTGGGAGGTTGGCTTTAACTTAAATGTCACGTGCACGAAAACGAGGCTCTATAGCCAAAGCGACGTAGGAAGGGTGTATTAACTATATCGAGTGTCGATGACCAAAATCCTGAAATTTATAATATCACGACAGCCCATGGATATCACGACAGCCCATGGATATCACGACAGCCCATGGATATCACGACAGCCCATGGATATCACGACAGCCCATGGATATCACAGCCCATGGCATGCACAGCACAGGAACATGAGCTTGGAACTTAATGCAGGAATACAAAAGCAAACTTACCTTAACGTACTGATAGTTTCATCAAAATTATAGCCTGCTGGTCCAATGTTGGCAATCTAACAAGACATTTTAAAAATGCGTCAATGAAGGTTTAATTCCCAGTCTAAACCTGTCCCGACATTGACAAATAAAATGTCTAACATTTGCATGAGTATTAGGTTGTCACGCACATGGACACGTGTTATACGATTTTCTGAATTTGTAATTTGTTATGATTCATGAGAAACAAAGAAACTCACGACAGCCCAAGGAGACCTAACTAACAAATTTTCTGGGTGTGAAAAATAATACTATATTCATTACAAGATCATATAAAGCTTTCAGCAAAGATCGAACTTCTAAATACCTCTGAGAAAAAGGGCCAACTACTATCGTTTAAAACAGATATATGAACAGTCACAGAGAATCGGAATCGCAGGGCCGCAGGTAGCCTGCGAACAGGCTCTTTGAATCAAATTTCAAAGGAGTTCAAAGAGAGCCTGTTCGCAGGCTAGGCCGCAGGTTCCTGCCAGAGGGCCTAGAATTGCATTTTTCACAGCCGCTCTTGGTTAGGTCTAATAAATGTATAAAATTTACACTTGAAATTTCCATCTACAAAATCCTTCAACATTATAGTCTATCGAGTGAGATCATAGGCGTACGGGAAGCAAAAAATTGGGGGGGGAAAATTGCCCGACTTTTTCGGATTGTGCCCGACTAGTGCCGAAAAAATTTTTTTCCGGAAAATTTTTTTTGTCGACCCCCCCCCCCATCCCCGTCGCCAAAAAAAATTTCGGTCAGCGAATTGCCCAACTGGCTTTGTTTGCCCAACAAACAGGGGTTATTATTAAGAGAGATTTTCTTGTTATGACTACTTTTTGCCCGACTTTTGCCCGACTTTAGCTGCACATTTGCCCGACTTTTCGACTTTTCGACCCCCCCCTGCCCCCCCGCCCCGTACGCCTATGAGTGAGATGCCCAAAACACCTGATCAGATTATATAACTTGTCAAATACTCTTGACAAACATGCAAGTTCCATGATGTGAGAATACACAATGTTTTTATCTACGACTGTCCATCCAAACGATGAACATTCGCGTTACGTACCATGACAGTCTTTGAGTTTCCTCCCAGCGAATCTTGAAGAAGTCGAGTCAGTTTTGAGTTTCTGTATGGAATATGAGTACTCTTGCCATCCACCAGAGCTGAAATAACGTTACCAAGAGTTGCTAATGATAAGTTGATTTTTGTTGCTTCTTTTAATCTCTGACCTGTTGCTCCTGTCTTAGACTGACGCTCAGAACCCTACAAAGATATTCACGTCACAATAATTACTATAGTATACACTATCAGGATTTTGGTAAAGGTGGAGTTACACGAGCAAATTGAGCAACAAAATTGCTGCAACTTGCAACAAAATCTGATTTCAACGCATGTTAATTGAAAATGTTTACACACAAATTACAAATCACAAGGCAACATATTTCATTTCATTTCATTTCATTTCATTTCATTTCATTTCATTTTATTTTATTTTATTTTATTTTATTTTATTTTACAAGATTCGCCAAACATAACAGACATAAATAAGACTAATACTTTACAAAATTTACATACAATTCGGGCAGGGACAAGCCACAGAGATAATCTCCAATTATGGGGTCCCTTACAATAAGTTACAATATATATACATTAAAACAAATTATGCTAAAATGTCAACAACATGTCTTCACTAATAAGCTATCAAGAGACCGAGTTGAGTGGCATTTGACGCACACCGACTTAAATGTTCTAGGATTGTCCGGGTTGTATATTTGTTCTAAAAGGTTTAAGTAGTAATTGAATAAAGAGAGTTTAAAGTAAGCCAATGATCTTGAAGTGTCACGAATATTACTAGGGAGAATGTTCCATACGCTAGGTGCTCTCACATAGAAATTGTTCTTGTAGCTAACTGTCCTGCATCGAGATACATTAAGAAGAATACCATTGACAGGGTCAGCGTTTCTAGTCGTCCGGGTGGTTGTTCGTATTGACACATTGACATCGTTGCTTAGAATACTCTTGTAAAGAAAAACTAAGTCTAGAAATTCGTGCCAATAGTCGTTCCCTGTATGTTGTGGCTGTTGTGTAAGGAAGGGAAAGGATGAATTTGGTCGCGCGACGTTGGACCCGTTCTATTGACAGTATGTCGGTGACAGTTTGAGGCGCCCACACCTGGCTGGCATATCCTAACTTGCTGCGCACTAAGGACCTTTCGCACGTGGATGTTATGCGTGTCGGAGGCTATTCGACGAATAAAGCCTAGCATTGAGCTCGCTTTTGATGTTATTTCTTCAACCTGTTTTGTCCACTTGAGATCTTTTGTGACAACAATCCCAAGGTCTTTTTGACGACATAGTTGCTTCAGAGAACTACCCAGTAGTTTATAATCTGTTGTGACTGATTGGCGACTTCTTGTGAAGCTCATTACTCCGCATTTAGATTTATTTAAGTCCATCTTCCAGATAATACACCAATTTATGAGATTATTCAGATCATTCTGCAGACCTTCGCAGTCGGGTAAATCTTTCACCGGACGGTAGCACTTGGTATCATCGGTAAACATTGCCACAGTTGATTCGCCCGAGACAGAATGTGGAAGGATCGTTCACATATACTAGGAAAAGGAGGGGCCCCAAGATTGACCCCTGAGGAACTCCAGACAGTACAGGGAGTGTACCCGAGGTCTCACCCAGAACAGTGACTCTTTGATAGCGGCCGGAGAGATAATTTTCAAACCAACTTAGTAGGTCACCTCTTATTCCAAACTTGTGAAGTTTAGTCAACAAAAGCTTATGACTAACCTTATCAAACGCTTTTGCAAAGTCCAGATACACAGCGTCGACTTGCTTTCGACTCTCCAACGCTTGATGGATATCCTGGAGAACGTGCAGAAGCTGTGAGGTGGTTGACTTGCCTCTGAGGAAACCGAATTGTAGATGGTGGAGTTGAGTGGAAATGTGTGATACGAGTTGGTTGTAGACGCGACGTTCGAAGACTTTGGAGACCAAGGACAACAGAGATATTGGTCGATAGTTTGAAACCTCTTCAGCTGGACTTTTCTTCGGGATTGGAACAATATTGGAGAGTTTCCACTCATTTGGAAGTTTACCCAGAGATAAACTCTTGTTGAAGAGATCACATAGCGATAAATAAATACTGGACGCACAGTTTTTGAGGAGTTTCGCTGGTATTTTGTCAGGGCCAGTCGCTTTGTTTTCATCGAGAGCAGCAAGAACGTGGTAAACTTCCTCGGGTGTTAAGGTGATGCTAGAGATGGTACATTCTGAAGTATCAGAGTTCGAGTCACTAGAGTTTGGAAAGGACGTTTCGTCGTCAGAAGGTTTGAAAACGGAATAGAAGTAGTGGTTGAGTAAGTTGGCAATATCCGCTGGGTTCTTGGCTGAGCTTGTTACATCGTCAGGATGAGATCAGGATGAGAACATGTGTCGACGTTGCAGAAATTTTGTTGCTCGTGTAACTCCACCTTTAGTTTAACTTTCATTCCCATATTACTCTTAATTTTTAATTGCTTTAGATTTGTGTTGTATTTGACTTTGACAACAGCTAATATACTACTTCTCTCTAAATCGTCGCGAATTTTTTGACGATTGTCATAAAAATCGTCTCAAAACTCAAAAGTCTAGTGGAGATCCGCCTAAACAGGATTTTGATAACAAGTATAAAAATAAATGTTATAAAAAATAACATTAGATACGCTATGTATCTGCGCAAGATGATTAATGTTGCTGTTAAAAGCTACATTCACATTATGCTGTTACCCTGAATGATGTAGATGGCAGAGGACATTTGAAATAATTACTTATTATATAGTTTTTTATTTATTATAAATTTTCGGGTGGGGGCTGCTGAGCACTGTTCGCAGCATGCTTTTGCTTTTTCAGTGATTACGTTGGTCGAAATACATTTCCGGGGGAGACCGACAACCATTCTTCAAATGGGTGTAAATATGGTTTAATTTCTTGTGACGACAAAAAGGGCAGAATGAGAGAGTTCGAGAATTTGGCAATGCGTGTAGGATACAAATGAAGGTGTCACGTTTTTAATCACCGGAGAAAAGATAAAGTATTGACGTAATGGTTTGTATGAGGCTTGCAAGTGTTTTTTGTTATAAAATCATAGAGAAAATGCTGGAATCTATTATGAAGCCTATCAGCACATAAACATGCGTCAATGCATGAATTACGGTCTCGCCTGCAGATGGGCGGAGGGATTTAAATAGAAGATTCCCCTTATTACGTTTTCGTAGCGCTTTGCATTGTGGTTATAGTGGTATTACTGATATTCAAGATGGCTTATTTTTTTGTCCTGACCCATGCAAGAACTTTTAATAAAAGCTAGGGTGCGATAGCTAACAGCAAAATATTCGTGAAAACACTCAATATTTTCATTCGAGGCTGCTATCTTTATCAGTGATACCACTATAACCACAATGCAAAGCGCTACGAAAACGTAATAAGGGGAATCATCAATTGCTATAGATAAAAGTATTGTAGTTTTAATAGTCTGTATGTCACTCTATTTTGCACATTATGAGAATTTTCAACAAAAAAATTATCCTTTCATGGTTATATCCACTTGTATAGCAACAAATTTGTATCTCTTTTCGTCACAGGAGCTTACGTGAAGTTTCGTGAGAGGAAAAAGCGAAACCGACAATTTATGAATAATTAAAATTATCTCGGAACGATAAGAAACCAACTTGTTAAGTAGAGGCCTTTTTCCACTTCAACCGTATCGAAAAGCATTTTCTTTTGTGTCGAAGTCATTAGTTCCATCCTAAACAAAGAAATACGCAACGCTTTGGTACGATACGTTTGAACTCGGTTGAAGTGGAAAACGGCTTTAATTAAGACATGCTGCTTCTATTGCTACAATGTTAGCATAGGCGTACGAGACAGAGGACAGGGGTGAGCGGCAACTGCCCCTCCCCCCGCCTCCAGCAATAATTGAGTGGAGAGCATGGAAAGCAGTGGGAGTTGTAAAAAAAGGATTAAGGCAAAACACAACATTTTTCTTGCCCTCCAGATATTGTTATGCAAAGTGTTTCTAGGCCAGCTGCAAAGAGCCTATTCTTGTTTGCAATGACGTCATTTTGGGATTTCAGTTGATGGGCAGGTATAACAAAACCAGGCTATTTTAATGTATTGATCGAGTTTAGAGACAGTTTAAGACTCAAAAGATGAATTACCGTTCAGTTTTTCTTGCTACAACCATTCTGATAGGAGAAAAATCGTTTGTTTGATTGTCCGTCATTTCAATGAAAAGTCACGTGATTGCAAACAAAGAATTATAGCCATAGCTAGACCTATACCCCGAAAAAAGTATACATTTGAAATGTTCCTATTCTAATAATTTGAATGCCTGAGCATTATGCTTAATCCACGGAAGCGTAAAATACAGGGTGTATTGAAAAACGAGACTTTAATAAATAACTCGTTAAGTACAAGATTTTCTATTCCTATAGGAATTTAAAATAGCTTCTAATCGTTTGAAGGAGCTGCATAGCATGCATCAGGAGGCGCCAGTACAATATCCAGGTTTTTTTGTATTCATTTAACGTTATACTAATTACTGCATAAGCTATTTTATTGAATTCGTCGGGAAGATAGCAACTTCCCGACGGAGAGGCTCTCGAAATGTCGAATTTCATTTTGTATTTTCCAAGTATACATCCCTACCAACGAAAGCTTGTTATAAAAATAATAATAAATGATTATTCCCAAATGATATATCATCTTAAAATTTATTAAAAGACAACATTAAGATTAAAATTTGCATTAAATTCCAGCTGGAAAACAAATTAACTAAAGTGCATGGATCCGAATAATATTCAACAATATCATGTTACCCACTTTATCTGTACTTTTTCACATCTATATATGCATATAACAATGCACAAATTTGATGCATTATTAATACTATGTATTAATGGGATGCAATCTGCTTGCACACCACATTATATAAACACATTAGAACATTAGATGATGATCAAACAGTCTGTCGGCGTCAATTTCGCCAACATTTAATTCTGTAAATCTTTGTAAAAAAATTTGAAATTTAAGTTTTAATTTCCTCCGCAAAGATATAAGAAAACAGTCATGAACAACTGGGCTACTTGCCTACAGATATTGTTTATTCTTACTGTACTTTTAATACACAGTGAAAGTAAAATATCAACAATTACGTTGAACGAATCGGCGAAAAAGCGAAATCAAACGTTATACACGCAGCTAAATTCATGGGGAGAAGAAACTGACGAAGGTCAAAATTTGAAAATAATACCAAAAAGCAAAGCCAAAGGTGAGGTAAAAGTAAAACAATAGTTTTAGTAATGGCATGGCCTTTTTACATTCAGATATTGCTGGAGTGTTAAACTAATATTACATTCACAAAGCATACAAACTACAAATTAAAAGACATGCATGCAGAAGTCACAGTATATTTACATGGTATAAGATAACAAGAACACCGGAATTCCTGCATGCAAACTCCCTCACATGAAAAAAGAAAGTATTTGATTGATATTTCTATTCGATCGATGGTATTCCTGGCTTTCATTAAGGCGTTCGGTTGCTGTGAAACAGCATCGTCATGAAATAAATTTTGATGATGATGAGATCATTTCAAAGGCAGTGCCTAGCTTGTACCCTTGCATGCAGGCGCTATGTTGCCACTATATGTCTTGCGGCGGCTTTGTGTGGGGCCGCGTGGATTAATATGACCGGCGTTCCACCAAATTTTCGCGCTTGATGTGATGCTGTGAACAAGGTTGCTGTGAAACAAACCAAAGCACCTAGTTATACGAGGCAGTGAAGTCAGTATAGATTTCATCACAGCATTTTTTTATTTCTTTCCTTTTGTCAGAATCTTTTATTTGTCAGCATCTTCTATTTGTCAGCATCTTCTATTTGTCAGCATCTTCTATTTGTCAGCATCTTCTATTTGTCAGCATCTTCTATTTGTCAGTATCTTCTATTTGTCAGCATCTTCTATTTTTGTCAGTATCTTTTATTTGTCAGTATCTTCTATTTGTCAGTATCTTCTATTTGTCAGCATCTTCTATTTGTCAGTATCTTCTATTTATTAATAATTTTTACTTGTCTGTATCTTTTATTTGTCTGTATCTTCTATTTGTCAGCATCTTCTTTAATAATTTTTACTTGTCTGTATCTTCTATTTATTAATAATTTTTACTTGTCTGTATCTTTTATTTGTCTGTATCTTCTATTTTTCAGCATCTTCTATTTGTCAGCATCTTCTATTTGTCAGTATCTTTTATTTGTCAGCATCTTCTATTTGTCAGTATCTTTTATTTGTCAGCATCTTCTATTTGTCAGTATCTTTTATTTGTCAGCATCTTCTATTTGTCAGTATCTTCTATTTGTCAGCATCTTCTATTTGTCAGTATCTTCTATTTATTAATAATTTTTATTTGTCAGCATCTTCTATTTGTCAGTATCTTCTATTTATTAATAATTTTTACTTGTCTGTATATCTTCTATTTATTAATAATTTTTACTTGTCTGTATCTTTTATTTGTCATCTTCTATTTGTCAGCATCTTCTATTTGTCAGTATCTTCTATTTGTCAGTATCTTCTATTTTATCTTCTATTTGTCTGTATCTTTTACTTGTCTGTATCTTTTATTTGTCATCTTCTATTTGTCAGCATCTTCTATTTGTCAGCATCTTCTATTTGTCAGCATCTTCTATTTATTGTCAGATCTTCTATTTGTCAGTATCTTCTATTTATTAATAATTTTTACTTGTCTGTATCTTTTATTTGTCTGTATCTTCTATTTGTCAGTATCTTCTATTTGTCAGTATCTTCTATTTGTCAGTATCTTCTATTTGTCAGTATCTTCTATTTGTCAGTATCTTCTATTTGTCAGTATCTTCTATTTTATCTTCTATTTGTCAGTATCTTTTATTTGTCTGTATCTTTTATTTGTCTGTATCTTTTATTTGTCTGTATCTTTTATTTGTCTGTATCTTTTATTTGTCGGTATCTTTTATTTGTAATATCTATTTTTCAGTATCTTTTATTTTTCAGTATCTTTTGTTTGTCTGTATCTTTTATTTTTCAGTATCTTTTGTTTGTCTGTATCTTTTATTTGTCAGTATCTTTTATTTGTCGGTATCTTTTATTTGTCAGCATCTTTTATTTGTCAGCATCTTTTATTTGTCAGCATCTTTTATTTGTCAGCATCTTTTATTTGTCAGCATCTTTTATTTGTCAGTATCTTTTATTTGTCAGCATCTTTTATTTGTCAGCATCTTTTATTTGTCAGTATCTTTTATTTGTCAGCATCTTTTATTTGTCAGTATCTTTTATTTGTCAGTATCTTTTATTTGTCAGCATCTTTTATTTGTCAGCATCTTTTATTTGTCAGTATCTTTTATTTGTCAGTATCTTTTATTTGTCAGCATCTTTTATTTGTCAGCATCTTTTATTTGTCAGTATCTTTTATTTGTCAGCATCTTTTATTTGTCAGTATCTTTTATTTGTCAGTATCTTTTATTTGTCAGCATCTTTTATTTGTCAGCATCTTTTATTTGTCAGCATCTTTTATTTGTCAGTATCTTTTATTTGTCAGCATCTTTTATTTGTCAGTATCTTTTATTTGTCAGTATCTTTTATTTGTCAGCATCTTTTATTTGTCAGTATCTTTTATTTGTCAGTATCTTTTATTTGTCAGCATCTTTTATTTGTCAGCATCTTTTATTTGTCAGCATCTTTTATTTGTCAGCATCTTTTATTTGTCAGCATCTTTTATTTGTCAGTATCTTTTATTTGTCAGTATCTTTTATTTGTCAGTATCACCATCTTTTATTTGTCAGTATCTTTTATTTAAATCAGTATATTTTAGTTGTCAACATCTTTTATTTGTCAGCATCTTTTATTGAAACGTACAATGAAAATGTAGTACACAAATTTTCTTCCTTCAATTTAGAAGTCAACGTGAGAAATATAAGGAGTGGCAAGGATTTTCACCACAATACAAGCGAAGAAGAAGCACTGAGTTGTCCGAGCCAGTACTCGTGTTGTAAGACTTGCGTGCAGGAGACTGAACATTGGCGTAAATGTCAATGTGATTCCTACTGCACATTCTTTAATGATTGCTGTAGTGACCACCAACACTATCATGGAAACAAAGGAGTAAAAACACCCGGACAACTGGAGTTTCAGCAACTTTCCTGTATCAACGAATATTTAAATGCTCCTATTTGGATAGTCAATAGATGTCCAGATAATAAGAGCAATGAATGCGAGAATGCTGATAAGGAATCGTGGAGTGAAAATGATATAAGTAAGTTAGTTCCTGTTCATGGCAGGAATAGTTTGGTATATCGTAATGAATATTGCGCAGAATGCAATGGAGAATATCAGATAAAACATTTTGGTATAAAAATAATTTGTGAAATTCTCCCGCCATCATCATTAACAACGATAAATGAGAAAATCTTGTTTGCTTTGAAGTATTGTAGAAAAGATAGCATCAGTTTTCAACGAAGAGATGATTACAAAACTCGTGAATGTTTTCCAAATCTAGTGAAATATTGTTCAGTTACAAATCCTTATTATGAACGGTGTGCAAGAGGTCCAGTTGGAGTTGTCGCGGTCAACGGCACAAATTATCGAAATAAGTGGTGCGTAAGTTGCATGGGAAAACAATATATACATCCAAAATGTGGTCCACGCATTAACCGTGACGCTATAGTCCTCCGAAGATAGCGTCTTTATCACTTGTACTAGATATTACAAATGACGGTTATTCCACCCACGTGCAGGCTAAATGCGGGAAGAAACCTTACGACTCTAAGCTTGAAATTTGTTCACGTTCTAGTAAGTCACGTTCTAGAGTACCAAAGAAGAGAAACATTGAAAGATATGTGGTGGCAGTTTGGTTCAGTTCTGAGAAGTTTACTGCTAGTCGGGTTTCCAAGAAGAACATTTATTCTTCTCTGAGAAAAACGTTTAATATCAATATTTCACAAATGGACAATTTACATTTTATTAAAAGATGGCCAAATTACTTCGTAATTACGTTTAGGTTGTGGCTAACGCCTGAGCAAACACTAGGTTTACTGGTTTAGCAAAACAATACAATGAGACAATGGATAACCAAGAAAAAACGTCATTTAACAGTCATCGCAATGGATCAAGGAAGATTCTTCCATTAAAAAGATTATTATTTTTTACCACGGAATTTAACATAACCATGCGTAAACATATGTTTACAGTTTTTAAAACCACCTATCGACAACTAACTTGTATTAACAAACAAACATATACCTTCAAGCAATATAGATTATTGCCCAACGGAAGTTACTATGTTAACTCAAGCGGAACAACGTATGAAGCAAAGCAAGTGTTCTTTGAAGATTCAGCGAAGCAGAATATTTCTGTTTGTGAACAAGTCGTGCTATCGAATTGCCATGGTTACCAAGTCAGTTTGATTGAGAGTGAATACATAAAATTCAAAAATCTTAGTATATTTTATAACGGAACAAACAAGATCTATCACTTCGGAGAATACGACATCCAAAATGAAAAGGTTATTATTTGTTTGTTTCCATCAGTGAAGATCATGACTACTCCACCTCAAAGAGTCACTCATGTTATTCTGACATATTTAACTTTAATTGGATTTGCTCTATCGTTATTTTGTCTTTTCTTGGTAATTCTGACATATTTGATATTTGCAGAACTTCATCATAGTATTCCAGGAAAGAATGTTTTAAATTTGTCTGTTTCATTATTTTTGGCGCAATTGATCTGGTTAACAGCAGTTGGAAAATCGAATGTGTCAGTGTCGTGTCACGTTACCGCAATGGTAGAACATTATTTATTTCTTGTTTCATTTGTTGCCATGGCAATGATTGCGTATCATACTTATTGGAGGTTCTCTAGTAAGATTGTTTCAAGAGATGTGCACCAACATGACGAAAATATAAAATTTCTGAAGTACTGTACTATAACATGGTGTACTCCAGCAATTTTTGTTGGGACATGCTTTGTTTTAGACCAACAGGGTATTTACACTATCTATACAGACGATCAAATATGTTGGTTTGAGAACATAGACGCTCAACGATACTTTTTTGTTCTTCCTGTTGGTGTGATCTTGTTTTTCAACGTGATATTTTTTATTCTCACTGTGGTTCATATTCATATGGGACGTTCTAAATATCATGATCATCTCATAGCATCATCTCACACCAGGACAACACAAACAATGTTTTGGATATATCTCAAGATTGCCACCTTAATGGGATTCAGTTGGTTGTTTGGCTTTTTGGATCTGATCGTTCATTTCACCTTTGTCTTTTCGTATTTGTTCGTGATTTTCACATCACTTCAAGGTGTGAACATTGCTATTGCATTCATCATGAACAAAAGAGTTTTCAAAATGTACAAAGATTTGATGAGAAGAAAGATAAGCAAGACAAACAGGCTTACAGAACTGGGCGGGGTCGTTTCAACAAATTTATAGTTCATCCCTACACTTAAATTACGGAATGGATAGTATGACTTCAATGTTTTTAATATTGTATCATTGGTTAGTCATAGTCGTACTCGTAAAAACCCTTATGCTTGAAGTTCCGTCGTGTAAAACAAGTACATTTCAGTCATCTTGCTTCAACCGTACCGTCCCTCACTGGAACTCTGTGTGTGTGTAAAACAGCCTCTCCTGCACACCTTCGTAGTCTAATTATCTTTAAAATTGTTTTTGTCAAGAACGTACTTACATTTAATATTTTAATTATTACTTTTTTGTGTAGATATAGTGACCTGTACATGGTCATTACATCAAACTTGTTCATGTCATAGGGATTAGTTTTGAAGAAAACATATGCATATTGCTTAACTGTTTTTCAATGTTCTTTCACATTCTTGAATCTTAATTGAAAGTAGTATTGGTTCTCATTTAATACTAAATCCAATAACTCTTATTGGAACATTAAGTTGTGTATGGTTTGAGAATTAGTTGGTGCTCAAGCAATACACGCTTCCAGAAAGTACATCATCTTGGCCATAGAGCCTCGTTTTCGAGATTGGCACGTTATACTTTAACTAATGTCGCGTACACAAAAACGAGGCTCTATAGCCAAGATGACGTACTTTCCGGAAGGGTGTATTGGCATGTTTCTTTACGGTTATTATTCATGTCAATATTTAAGTACTGTAATATATTTTAGTAGGTTTATAGTTTCAAACGGGGGAGTGCCTCGCATGGGACTTTCAGCCCCGTTCGCAATCTTACCGCTTGGACATTGTAGTTGATTGTCCAATAAATTGATTTAATTAAAATTAATTAAATTACTGCTTTGTCAATATCTATTACTGTATGTTGTTCCGAAATTTATGTTGGACTCATCGTGGACATTTTCAGAAGAATAAGCTTGAAGAATTATTAATCTGCGATAGCACACTGATACTGATCTTAGACGTCCCGTCCGTATATACCAGGTGTCCAAAAAAAAATGGAACGTAAAATCTATCGCAATGAAATAAAGGTCATTCGGCATTCAGAAAGGACCAACTTAGATTTTGATACATAGCACTTGAATTTACATGCAATATTGACTGCGCTATTGGTGTTTGAACGTTGAACTACACTGATTTTCAAAATGCCAAAAATTAGCATAAAACAACCTTATAATTATCAATGTAGTTATAGTACTTGTTAAATAATAAATATTTTTATTTTAGTTGTATCTCGCTCAATATTGCATGTAAATTCAAGTGCTATATATCAAATTCTAAGTTAGTCCTAATTCTAAATGCAATGATTTTTATTTCATAGCGATAGCTTTTATAACTTTTACGTTACATGTAATCAAACAGTGTCCAGTTTTTTTTGGGACACCCGGTATAATTAAATAACTCGATAAGGCGGATACAAAAACACGGAATAAAAGTGCCTTAAACTTACAGCCAAATCAACCATATGAAGTTTTCCCATACGAACATGTTGTTGGCCATCTGCTCCTTTCTCACTTCGCTCAATTGTGATTGTAAATATTGCATGTGAGCGCGAAGAATGTTCATTCATGTTTGTAGCACCAACAGAACCTTGGAAAATGCAAAAACAGGGGTTTTTGCTGGCCATAGAAATGTAAAATATACTATATGAATTCTTGCATGCACGTAACAGATCATTGTAACACAACTAATTTCATGAACGTCTGCTATATAGATCTGTATGACAAAACCGTGCTTAGTTTCCTTAATTATTCTAAAATGAACACTGTTTGGGATAAGGTTGTTATGAACACCTTTGAGTGTTAATTTTGCCTAATTTTTTTTTATTGGTTTCCATGAAAGCATTAGACTAGTTCTACTATCTGACCAAGTTTGAACGAAAAATGTTGAAAACTCGCAGAGTTATTTAATAAAATACATTTCGCTGCAATAAGAAAAACATTGAAAATGTAATATTCAAATTCAATTTTCTCCCGAAAAATTTTACGGTAATTACTGATTTTCAAACGAGTTGTGCTCCTGCGGGTTTTAACCAATTTTTCTCAAATTTTCACAGGACATAGCTAAAGACGTCAGTTTCAAAATTGTGTTCGGCTTTGTTCTAATTTTGGATATTTTAAAAATAAAGAGCAATTCACTCAAACGATTCAGAAATATATTGCAGTCGTCAAAGAAATCGCCATATCAGCGGAATGACGAAATAAACAAAAATTTCCGAACACAATTTTTTAGAACAACTATTTTACTGTATAAAAATGATATTTTCATAAATATAACTTAAAACCAGCAGGAGCACAACTCGATCAAAAGCGTAACGGTACTGCGATTTAAGATTTTCTTGAGTAATTCTTACATTATTTTATTGTTTGTTAATTTTAAACTTTACCATATTTTGCATGCACTGGAGAACATTTGAG